TGTTAAGGAAAAATATGATAACAATTTTAAGTAAATTAAACATCTAACAGAGTGAGTAGTATAATTTGAGAACCCAATTATAGTGAAAGTGCGATAACCATTTAGAATAATAAGGCACCGAGTGAGAAAACAAGTTCTATCTTAAGAGGCACATAGAATAAAGTATGTTAATAATTCTTTTATTTAAACCATTATGTTACCAACAACTCAACAGAATATAATATAGTGACTCCACGCCATTAAATTCACATTGACAATCAATTCACCAAGTTATAACGGAGGCAAAGATTGGCATGTTAAAGCAACACAACAAATCACGTAGAATGCATGACTCACACAAGAATCCACAATCGTTCCAACATCAAGGTAACAACGAATAACCAAACACAATCAAAATGCGGATGAATGATTGAAGGAAGAACAATGACCATTCAAATCAACAAGTTGTTCCAACATGGAATGTACAATGAAAATCACAACCGAGGTACCGCCTCGTATTCACATTTCACAATTTCAATCACAATCTTTCCTTATATCACCACATGAGCCTTACATTTAACTTTGAAAATCATTTTTTTCCGAAATAGCTACACACGTTTTAGTCCACCTTATCTCACCATGTGGCTTCAAGTAGTTCCCCTACTAGAAACACGCTTATCAAGCCCACCTTATCTCACCGCATGTGCATCAAACCCTAGCCTTATACCACAGTATGAGTATCAATATTACAACACAATCATAACTCGCAACATAAGTGCCCATATGCCACAACTTGCCACAAAGTCAACAACACCAATATTTCCACAACAAATAGCCCATGGATCAACCACAATGTGTACAAGAATTTCAACAATAACAAAATGAATGAGATGCTCAACAAGGAAAGGTATCTCAACAATTAACAACTTCGCCTCGATGTGATAACAGCTATTACAACTTCAACACCAATAACTCAACAAGATGATATTCCACGAAATAACAACTTCAATTAAAAGTGATTTAAAAAGTAAGAGGTAACAAGATAATAAAGAAGACAATAACTTCAACTAAAGCATATAAGAGTAAAATAACAAGTAAGAGGTAGAACAATTGTCAACAACGTCAAATAGAGCATGTAAGAGTAGATTAACAATGAGAGATATAACATGTTATGAAAATTCAATTAAAGGCATGGAAAGAGTCTAGATAATCTAAACCGGTAAAATACCATATGTAGCTCGTGTACCCACTCGTCACCTTATATACACGGCTTTCACATAACACAAATAGCATAATCAACCCAAATCCTAAGGGGTAGTTTCCCCCACACAAAGTTAGGCAAGATATTTACCTCAACTAGGCCAACTCAACCCTCTGAAATAGCTTTTCCCCTAAATCCGCCTCCATACTACTCTAACAAAAAATGACTTAATAATATCAAACAATGCAAGAGAAACCAATTATAATAAATAAAGCTATGATCTTTACATTTTCCCCAAAAAGTCAAAAAAGGTCAACGTCGGGCTCGCCTTGGATTCCGAATCCAAGCTTATCCTAGTGAAGCCCGAACCAATACAATCTCACACGAATGAAAACCGACTCAATCGGAGTCCGATAGCTCAACCAATTTGTCAAAATATCGCTTTTGGGTGTTCATAACCCAAGAGTCCAACCCCCACTAGTTGGGTCCCATAACTCCCGAAATACTCCTCCAAAACTCACCAAATTCAAATATGTTCTTCTAATATAGGAGAATAAAACCCCAAAAGGAATCGAAAAATAAACGTTTCTAACTCATTTTTAATTTTTAAAATTTAGGGCATAACCCTAGGTCTTGATTTAAAGAATTAAATAGGTTTTCAATTAAAATCATGGATTAAAGCTTAAACTAAGGGAATGAATCAAAGGAAAATACTTAGGTTATGGTTTAGACCTTATCCCATAGAAGAAACTTGAAGAACATCTTTGAATTCTTCCAATCCCAAACTTTCAAGATGAGAAAAACTCCAATAACATTAGTACCAAAAACGCCCAGTTGTTCTGCCTCATTTCTTATGTCAAATGATCCCAAAACTTACTTTTGATACCTCCAATGGATTTCTTGTGAAATTACATTCAAGTTAGGCTTGTGAATCACTCCATTTGACCTTATAATGAAGGAGATATGTTAGTGTCAATATTTGAAAATAATGTAGATTTTTAAATACGAATTCAGTGGCAATTTCGTAATTAATCTGGAAAAAAAATCTAGCAACCCAATTCTTAGTAAAATGACCATAAATTCCTCATACGATGTCGAAACTTGATAATTTCAGTTGTTATGGTTCCAAAATTACGATACATATATAATGATTTAGTCGAAACACGAATCAAAGGCCGTTTTCTCAATATGGTAACCTTTATGCTCAAATCGATGTCGAAAGCGAAAACAATCATAATACAACCCAAACTTATCCAAAACTCATCAGAATTTAACCAAACTTTGTGAACTTGTCCAAAATTATCATACAAACTTATTGAAATAATTAAAACCCGATTTCAAGCTTGTTTACCCAAAAGTCAAATCTTGGTTAACTCTTCCAACTTAAAACTTCTAAAACAAGAATTATTCTTCCAAATCAATTCCGAACCGATTGAAAATTGAAACCAACAATACACGCAAGTCATAATACATAATATGAAACTACTCAAAGTCTCAAACCACCGAATGATATGCTAAATCTCAAAATGACCGGTTGGGTCGTTACAGTTATGTAAAGCTTCACGATAGCCTGAGTCATGTTCGCGAGACTAGGCCTTGCGGCCTCAATCACCGGTATCTCATCATTCTCTACCATCTCAATTGGCTGTGGTTGGACTACAATTCCCAACTCTGCAGTTCTTGCTCTTGCTTCCGCCTCACTCCTTAACTTGTGAAAGAGACTTTCGAGTTCAAGATCTAAAGGAGGAAGATTGTTCAAATTGTTACTTCTTCTTAGCATTCAATGTGAACATCTGTAGAGTCATAAACAGTAAAACAAATTAAATCTCGAACAAAAACAAATAAAAGCGTATTTCAGATAAGTAGCTAATTTTTAAATCCCCGGCAACGGCGCCAAAAATTTGTTGAGTCCAAACGCACACGCAAGTATACGTGATCGACAAGTAATAAAGTGATGAGAAAGTATCACCCCAAGAGGATTTATGATCAACTATTGTCCAATCTAAACTATTTATAAATGTATTGCTCAAGTGGTTGTGAAGAAGATGATTGTGATTTAGACTACTAAAATTTACTACAAAATTACTAAGTAAGCAAACAACAAAGGTGCAAAGCAAATAAACAAACACTTAGAAAGAATTCAATGAGATGGGAATATTCCGGGGTTACGGAATTAATGTCTCTCCTATTGATTCTTCCGGTTAATTTAATCACGTAATTTATTTAATTTATTAATTTACAGGATTTATTATGCTCGCGAAGTTCTTTCGGCGCTTCGCTCGCCTATTAAAGCCAACCTAATACTATATGTCTATAGAATTAGAATTTAACAATAATGCATGTATATTTCCTGCGAAAATAATCAAGGCAACTAGAATATGTCTATCCTATCGCGGATCTATTCTCCGATACCCAGATTCAAGAACTTACTCTATTCAATCTTATATGCAATCTATAGTTCCCACTCTCGAATTCAACTATAAATTCGTAGATAATATTCTACTGTTAGCTAAGCAATAGAATAATTAAGTGCAAGATTGGATAAACAAATTAAGATGATAATTCAAGCAAAATAAATCAATCGTCAAACAACAATAGTCAAGTACAACCCATAACCCCATAATAATGAGGTTTTTAGCCATTCATGTTCATGACAATAATTAAAATATTATTTTTAAGCATAAAAGCTATGAACACTAGATGAAAGATGAAAGAATCGATGAATTCTGTGCTCTGTTTGTGTTTCTATGCCCTTACCGCCTTCAAAATTGACCAACTCCTCAATAATCACGTTTAGGGGTATTTATAGATTAGGGTCGGAGTCCCCAAGTCCAAAATTGAGTAGAAAACGTTTAATGCACGGACTGGAAAAGGACCAGACCTCAGAGCTCGCGAGGCCTGGCTTGTAGTGCGCATTTGGGCACGCCTCGCCTGCTCTGTCGCGCGGTCTGCCTCACTTGGAGCCTGGCCTGACGCTGGTTCTGGGCCTTGTCTGATTTTTTACCTTTTCGTGCTCTTTTTGTGTATTTTTTACATCCTTGTGTGCAAACTTCACGCGTTTTCATCCTTCAACAATCCTACACATAAAAACGATGCAATTGAGCTCTAACGTCGCACAATTAATCATTAAAATACTAAAATATAAGATGAGCAATGCATTAAAAATATACATTTATAGCCAAACATCACTACTCTCCAAAAATAGTTTTTCTACAACACTTTAACAAAAAATGCTTTTCAAAATAAGCGGATAAACAAATTTAATCATACGAAACATACTCTAATGTTTCTTATAAAATCCGTACTCTCTTTGTCCAGTATCCCCTTATTTCGGCCAAAATAAATATAGCTCTTATTGTATATCATCTCTAATATGGGTTTATTTAGTTCATTGCAATCAAAATATGTTTCGATTTTAAATTTTAATATTATAATTATCTCTCATCTCACTGGTATTTATTGAAAAGTGCAGTTTAATAAAGAAGACTTTTGATACTTATAATATTAAACTAATATTTTTTCTATAAAACTTTTAAAAGTTGTGGTCATAATTATGTCAGAATATTTTTATAACTGTAAAATTATTTTATTAAGGTACAATGATAATTTTAAAGTTAGTGTTTTATAAAATCAATTTATAAGGTCATAAATATATTATTTTTCCAGAAAAAAATAATATTGCATAAACAGAGAAAGGGAGGGAGTAGCATTTTCATCGTTCTTCTTGAGAAATACTTTAATAATTTAAAGCAATCAAAATTGAAAATATAACTTCATATAGAAATATTTTTTCTGCAAATTGCAGACTTCCTCCAAAGAACGTACCTTCACATGCCATGGCCATAATGACCCACCCCATCACCCCGTTCACCACCCCACCCCATCCCCACCCACCCATACCCACCCACCAGCTATCCACCTCCATCTCCAAAGCCACCTCCCTCACTCAACTCAAACAAGTCCACACCCAAATCCTCCGCCAGAATTTGTCCCATTCCAGTTCCAATTCCCTCCTTTTCCAGCTCATTCTCTCTTCCATTCCTTTCCCTTCAACCTTTCACTATTCCCTTTCCATTTTCTCATCCACTTTGCAAAACCCTCCAAAAACCCATCTCATCAACAAGCTCTTTCGCGAGCTTTCGCGTTCTAAGGAATCCCAAAATGCGTTCTTGTTTTTGGAGAATGGTAGGAGGAATGGGTTGGAAGTTGACAGGTTTAGCTTCCCGCCATTGCTGAAAGCTGCGGCGAGGGGTTTTGCGTTGCGTGAAGGGGTGGAGCTTCATGGGTTGGTTTGTAAGCTTGGGTTTGATTCTGACCCGTTTGTTCAGACTGCTTTGCTTGGGATGTATGCCTCTTGTGGACAAATTCAAGATGCGCGGTTGGTGTTTGATAAAATGTCTCACAAAGATATTGTCACTTGGGATATAATGATTGATGGGTATGCTGTTCTCAATTTAAATATCCAAGATGGTTAATTATTTCCTAATGGGTAAATTGAATTGAAGTTGAAATGTTTATTAGGAATACTTTAGTTTTAGGAACCTGTAATTTGCTTCAAAAAAAATACTTATCAAGTAATGGAATGTAACGGACCAGATGGAGTGGAATAGATATTGAGGATTCATATGCTGATATGCCGAACCCCACTTGTGAATTGAGGCGTACTCGTAGTTGTTGTTTGTTGTTGTTGAATCGCTTCAAGTTTATGCATTTTCAAATATGTCAAGTAGCACGTTATCTCATGCTATGGTTTCAGAATTGCTGATTAAAACGCAAGTGATGTCTTTTAAGCTTATTAGTTATAGCTTGCTGACATTTTGTGTTGTGTGTTTACAGTTACTGTCAAAATGGCCTTTTTGATGATGTATTGGTGCTATTGGAAGAGTTGGGAAGCTCTAATTTGGAACCAGATGCAAGAGTTTTCACCACCGTTCTATCTGCTTGTGGTCGAGCTGGAAATTTATCCATTGGGAAAGTGATTCATGGGTTAATATCTGAGAATAATATCATTGCTGATTCTCGTCTGCAAACTTCTCTAATCAGCATGTATTCAGGTTGTGGCTGCATGGATTTGGCTCAGAATTTGTATGACAAACTGTCACAAAAGAATTTAGTGGTATCAACTGCCATGATTTCAGGCTACTCAAAGGTTGGGCAAGTTGAAGCTGCACGCTCTATTTTTGACCAAACGACAAATAAGGACTTGGTTTGTTGGAGTGCTATGATATCTGGCTATGCAGAGAGCGATCAACCTCAAGAAGCTCTCAAGTTACTTGGCGAAATGCAGGCATCTGGAGTGAAGCCTGACCAAGTAACTATGCTAAGTGTTATCTCAGCCTGTGCGAATCTTGGCACATTGGATCAAGCTAAAAGAATCCATTTGATTGTTGATAATTATAGATTTCGAGAAGCTTTGCCTGTAAATAATGCCCTTATTGATATGTATGCCAAATGTGGATCTCTAGAAGGCGCAAGAGGAGTCTTTGGTCGAATGCAAAGGAAAAATGTGATCACATGGACTAGTATGATTAGCGCATTTGCTGTTCACGGAGAAGCTGAGCAGGCCTTAATGCACTTTCATCAAATGAAGTGTGAACAAGTTAAGCCCAATTGGGTTACATTTGTGGCTGTTCTATATGCTTGTAGTCATGCTGGACTAGTTGAAGAGGGACTGCAGATCTTCTCGTCAATGGTGAATGACTACAAAATTACACCTAAACTTGAACACTATGGTTGCATGGTGGATCTTTACGGCCGAGCAAATCGTCTCAGGGAAGCCCTAGAGATGGTAGAGTCTATGCCTATGGCTCCAAATGTTATCATTTGGGGTTCATTAATGGCTGCCTGTCGGATCCATGGTGAGTTTGAACTAGGGGAATTTGCAGCTAAAAGGCTTCTCGAGTTAGATCCTGAACATGATGGGGCTCATGTCTTCTTATCAAACATTTATGCTAAAGAAAAAAGATGGGAAAATGTTGGAGACGTGAGGAGACTTATGAAATACAAAGGCATTTTGAAGGAACGGGGACACAGTAAGATTGAAATGGACAATGAGATACACGAATTTTTAACAGCTGATAAGAGTCATAAGCAAGTTGATGACATCTATGAAAAGCTAGATGAGATAGTTTGCAAGTTGAAGCAGGTCGGTTATGCTCCAAATATCAGTGTTGTTTTACTTGATGTAGATGAACATGCGAAGAAGGATGCGGTTCTTTTGCACAGCGAGAAGTTGGCTCTTTGTTATGGGCTACTGAAAAGTAATAGGGGATCGCCAATACATATAATTAAGAACTTAAGGATCTGTGAGGATTGCCACAACTTCATGAAGTTGGCGTCTAAGGCGTTTGAGAGAGAAATTGTTGTAAGAGATAGGACTAGATTTCACCATTACAGAGATGGCTCATGCTCTTGTAAAGACTACTGGTGACAGCAATTTGTGAAATAGAATTAGCTGTATACTACATTGTATTATATTTTCCTCATTTCTCTTTAGCATTTAAAATTTATCATCTAAGCGCAGGCAGAGCATTTCTGGCTACATGGGATATAATATTTACAGTTGAAATCGAAATGATGCAAACATTGAATATTCTCAAGGTTCAAGAAGAACACCAAAAATATAAAGCAAAAAAAACAGAAGCTCTCATAAGGGATGAGAATGCTTTCTCATAAGAACATCAGAAACCCCATCTTTAGGTTGGAATTTGGAACCTCTCTACTGTGAAATCACTGTGCTGGCTCGTGAAAGCAGACAACACCCAGAACTGTTGTTTCAACTTTTGAACTTCTCTTGTCAGCCTGAACTTCAAAAACTCCAATGCAGCTGAAACCAATTTTCCATTTTCAGTTAAAGGGCTTTGACTGTACTCTAGAATCCATGTATTTGGGTCCAATTGCACAGCAGAAGCACTCCACTTTCCTTGGGTCCATGAACTGTTAGACTTTCTAATCAAATAACCAATTTCCCCATTGGACCACTGTTCAAAATGAAGAGGAAAAGAGCAACAAAATCTTAACTTGATGAAGCAAACTCAAATGTCAACTAAAAGAAGAAAACCAGAAACATAGTCGAAATTCGGGTACCTCGGTGAGTCTTCCTGATAATATGGCATACGAACGCACAGAAAATCCAGCTGTGAGCAAACCAGCTGTTTGCAAAGGCCATCCCCAAATGCTCAACTCTTCTGAAATGGACTTGTACAATGTACATCGCGAAGTCAAAAGCAAACCATCCTATAATTAAGTTACAAGTCACTTACTTTTTGAAATGTAGCAAGAATATAACATAGAACAATTAAAGCAATAATCCAGCATTTATGCAACAGCACTAAGTGAATATATACATTGTATCAACAAAGACAAAAAATCTTAGTAGTATTTATGAAACAGCACTAGGTGAATAAATACTTAGAACAACAAAAACAACAGTCTAATATTTATGAAACAGAACCAAGTGTGTATATATATACCTGGTTGATTTTCCAAGTAGAATTAAGAGGGCTGCAACTTGACACTTCTTCATCATCAATTAGACCTTCAAGCTCCTTCTTCAAGAATACCAATCTTTCATTAAAATCTTTGAAACCCCATGATTTTTCACTCAAATTCCTGAAAATTTCAGGTGACAATTCTGGCTGCAAGAACCCAGAAACCACCCAAGATAACCCAACTTCCAACCCGAAAACAACACTCCACACAAAAACCAACCTCGCCAACAAAACTCCAAAACCGAATTCTCTCTTCTTCCTCCTCACCTTCTCATGAAAGCTCATTCTTGCTGTGGAATCAAGCGTAGGGGACATGGAGGAGAAAGAAGAAGCACAAGTAGTGTTGCTCGATTTGGGAGTGGAAAGAGTTGACGAGTCAAAAGAAATGGGGCTTCTTGGAAATTGAAGGGGCTTAGAGCCCTTGTGTATGCTGTTAGGGATTAGATCAAGGGTCGCATTGAAACTGGCTATGCAAATTTCACAGTTGCAGTTGGTATCTTTTCGACATCCCGGGAAATAATAGCTGTCTTTGGTTTCAGATTCCATGAGGATGCCGGTGAAAGACGATTTCACGCAAGACTTTGGAGTTGAAACTGGAGTTAATTTCATGGTGTTTTTACCTATGAAAATACCCAAAATCTGATCTTTTGTGGTTTTCTTGGTTTGTTTGGGAGGGGAGTTGGTTGAAGAAAAGATATATGGGGTGTTTGAAATTTGAATATAACGGTCATATCGTCCGCAAAATACACGTAATGACACATNTAAGGGGATTTTTTTTCTTTTTTTGAGAAATGCTTATGGAACTGTATTTTAGTGGTTACAGAAATATGATAATTGAGAATGTGATGCTGTTAGTACCTACTATTACCAAATAGGTAATGACGAGATGAAAAAGTTTGGAACCCAATAGGTCAATGTTTTCAAAAGTATTAGGATAAACGGAAAAAAATAATTTAAATTAAATAATTATAAATGTATTGCTTGGTCAATTTGTCCCTAATTCCAGCAATCCTAGGATCAATGTTACTATATCCTCCTACCATATTATTTTTGGTAGTCAAAAGACTAAAGTTCAGACTTAAATCTCACGAGTTCAAATATAATTATATTATGAAAAGTTGAATAATTGAGAATAAAGATATCGTAATTCAGTTACAGTTATAGATTGAGAAAATATTACTATGTATAAATACTAAAATGAATTTCTTCTCACGATTGATTAACTCATCTAATGGGAATGATGCAGCATAAATCAAAAGTAGCGGTATTCGACATTTTAAAAAGCATAAAATGAAAATTCAAGTTGTCTAGGCACAAAATTAAACTAGTCCAGATCAAGTTCTATCCCTTTTTAAATTTTAACTTAACAACAACGACGACGACTTTGTAAAATTTCACAAGTGGGGTCTTGGGAGGGTAGTGTGTACTCATACCTTACCCCTACTTCGAAGGGGCTGAGAGATTGTTTCCGCAATTGAATAATAATTAGGGTACTTACTGAATTTATGTGTTCAAATGCAATTGGTTACTAAAATTCCCTCTCCTCTTGGGTTTCTATATCTGCTTCTTATTAATATCTAAAACAAAATGAAAAATTCTTAGCTTGAGAAGTTAGTCGTGGCTTCTGAATGTCCAAAACTTGGATTGCATGACTCACTTTGGTTTGTGATATTTACCAAATTGTAATAATTTATAAAGATTCTTTGTTTGAAACAATGACTTTTACCAAATTGTAATAATTTGCAAATTGATCGGTCTAATGCAGGTAATATAAATATACCAAATTGTTTATTCGTAAAACAGTGCAGTTAAATTTATATGTGATTTCTAAACAAGTGAATTAATCTGATCCTCAAATACTAAAGTAATTAAAGAAATGCGCAATACTTAGCCTTGAAATGGAGATAAAATCATGAAGAATAGTAATTCTGGGGGCAAAGCTTCCGGGTACAACAATGATGAAACCAAGGAACAAGAAAGTAAACTTGTGTAAAGCTTTTAATCTATTATAGCATAAATTTGCACGAAAAGTCGTGTCATTTACAATGATAATAGAGCTCATTATTTATAGCTACGCCTAGGGAACAAGGTCCTAGAATCGTACCCTTCTTTAATGTCAATTATGAGAGCCATTTTTGTCCATTCCCCACTTCATGAACGACCACAGACACAGAACTGAATGTAGTGGTTCTGCCGGTTGATGTACCAGCGGTGCGTAGCGTTGGCACTTGTTGCATTTTTGTACGAAAGCTTTGGCGTCTTGTTCCATGCGAGGCCAATAATAGTTTGCCCTTACCAGTTTTAGCACTAAAGAATCTGCACCCGAATGGTTTCCGCATATCCCTTCGTGGACTTCTCGCATAACGTAATTAGCTTCGGATGCTCCCAAACATCGGGCCAGTGGGCCTTGGAAAGATATTCTGTACAGTTGACCTCCTTTGAAGCTATACCGTGCTGCTTTGATGCGCAACAACCGGGATGCCTTGGAATCTTCGGGCAATTTTCCGTGCTCGAGATAATCGATGATCTCATTCCTCCATTCCGAAACCAAATTAGTCTTATTTACCTCGTAGTAGCTATCCACATCCAGGACCGAGTGCATCAGTTGTACTACCGTCCCAGAATCCAATCCCTTCATTTCCATTGATGAACTGAGGTTAGCCAGTACATCTTCTTCTGCATTTTCTTCCCTCGGGATATGAATAATCGACTATTCCCGAAATTGAGCGAGCTGAGCTTGGACCTTTACTACATATTGTTGTATGCGCTCCTCTTTGGTTTCAAAGATCCTGTAGACCTGATTTGCCACCAGCTATGAGACACACTTGATTTCTATGACCTCGGAATCTAGTCCCCGGGCCAGTTCGAGTCCTGCAATCAAAGCCTCATACTCTGCTTCATTGTTAGTTAAAGGGACCGTTCTGATGGCTTGCCTTAGGTTTCTCCCGAAGGCGTAGTTAATACTATGCCAAGCCCGGACCCTTTTACATTGGAGGCTCCATCCATAAATAAGGTCCAAACATCCGATGTCAATTATGGCACCATTGCTGCCTCTTTGGTTGCTAGAGGCAGCAATCCCGGACTGAAATCGGCCACAAAGTCAGCCAAGACTTGTGACTTAATCGCAGTCCTTGGTTTATATTCTATGTTGAATTCACTTATTTCGACCGCCCATTTTTCCAACCTACCCGAGAGTTCAGGTTTATGAAAGATGTTCCGCAGGGAAAATGTGGTCACCACAGCTATCAGGTGACATCGGAAGTAGGGCCTCAGCATCCGAGCAGCGACTACGAGAGCTAAGGCCAGCTTCTCCAAATGCGGGTAGCAAGTTTCTGCTCCCGTTAAAATTTTACTAACGTAATAAATGGGAGATTGCGTACCTTTGTCCTCACGGACTAAAACTGTACTTATCGCTATTTCCGAGACTGCGAGGTAGACCAACAATGTTTCACCTTTCTTTTGGTTTAGAAAGTAACGGAGAGCTTGACAAGTACCTTTTCAAATCTCTCAAGGCATGCTGGCATTACGGGGTCCACTCGAAGTTTTTTTTCTTTTCGAGCATTGCGAAGAAACGGTGGCATTTCTCTGATGACCGGGAAATGAACTTGCTCAAAGCGGCCAATCTCTCCGTGATCCTTTGGACTTTTTTCACGCTTGACAACTGGTCTGGGATGTCTTCGATGGCCTTGATCGTATCGGGGTTTATCTCAATCCCACTTTGTGATACCAGAAATCCTAGGAACTTGCCGGAACTGACCCCGAACACGCACTTCTCGGAGTTAAGCTTCTCGGAGTTAAGCTTCATGTTATGCTTTCTTAGGATGTCAAAAGTTTCGTGCAGATGCTTAAGGTGATCGGCTACATTCAAAGACTTAACGAGCATATTGTCTATATAAACTTCCATAGTTTTCCCTATTTGTTTTTCAAACATCTTGTTTACGAGCCACTGATAGGTGGCTCCGGCGTTCATCAACCCGAAGGGCGTTACATTATAGCAATATGTGCCAAAATTCGTTATGAACGAAGTCTTTTTCTGATCCTCCGGGTTCATCTTAATTTGGTTGTACCCGGAATAAGCATCGAGAAAATTCATTAACGCGTGCCCGGCCATCGCATCAATCATTTGATCGATGTTTGGCAGTGGGAACGAGTCTTTCAGGCACGCCTTATTCAAGTCCTTATAATCTACACGCATGCGAAATTTATTGTTCTTATTAGGAACTAATACTACATTAGCTAGCCAGTCTGGATACTTTACCTCTCGGATCGAACTGATATCAAGTAAGTGAGTTACCTCTTCTTTGAGAATTTATTCCTGGCCTCCGCAATAGGGAGTTTCTTTTGTCTTATCGGAGGTATGTTGGGATCCACACTTAGCTTATGTACAACCACCTCTGTTGGGATACCTGTCATCTCCGCATGCAACCACGCAAAACAATCGGCATTATATTTAAGAAATTCAATAAAGCCAGACCTGAGCTTGGGGTGCAGTCCTGTCCCCAAGTGGAATTTCCTTTCTAAGAACTTTTCAAACAATGCAACTTGCTCGAGCTCTTCCACCGTGGATTTTGTTGCATCAATCTCTTCTGATACCTGGAAATACCTTGGCACCTGATAAGATTTCGACGCTTCTACCCCCGGGCTAACTTCATTCGATTTAGGAGCGGGCGCCGGTTCTTATAGTTTCTATGCTGCGTGCTCCTTCCCTTTTCTACTAGAGACCAAAATCGCACTCATCTCACTTGCCGCCGGTTGGTCGCCCCTTATCTATTTAATTCCTTTGGGCATTGGAAATTTCAGCAATTGATGATACATTGATGGTACAGCTCTCATCTCGTGCAACCATGGTCTTCCCAAAATAATATTATATCCCATATCACCATCCACCACTTCAAAAAGAGTCTTTTTCATCACTCTTTTGACATTCGTGGGCAACAAAATCTCTCCCCGGGTTGTCACGCTTGTGAGGTTGAATCCGACGAGGAGTTTTGTGGCCGGAATGATGCTTCCGGTGAGTTTAGCTTGCTCCAATACTCTTCATTGTATGATATTGGCCGAACTTCTTGGATCCAATAGAACACGTTTTATTTTAATGTCTAGCACATTTAAAGAAAATACCAATGCGTCATTGTGCGGTAGCAACAATCCGTCTACATCATCCTCCGTGAAAGTGATGTCGTCTTCAGCAACTTCCCGGAGTCTCTTGCCAAGGGTTATTGCTACTTTCGTCTTTTTTGCTGCCGAGAAGGTGACCCATTTGATCTCGTTCCCACCGAAGATTATGTTGATCGTATGACACGGGGGATCTTCTCCTGCTTTCGAGGGTTCTGCGTTAACTCAGTTACGACCGTAGCTGTTCTTGGCCCGGCTACTTAAGAATTCTCAGAGATGACCATTCTTCAATAGTGTCGCCACTTCTTCCCGGATATGTCGGTAGTCCTCACTCCAGTGGCCATTCGTCCCATAGTATTCACACCACAAGTTGGGATCCCTCTGGCTGGGATCAGATCTCATCGGCTTTGGGAACCGTATTTCTTTGATGTTTCTCATAGTTGATACCAACTCTACTACACCGACGTTGAAATTTTATTTTCTGATAGCCTGGGGTAGGAAGGATCACGAGTACCTGACGTTTCTTTGTCCTGCAATGATCTATTGTTCCGACTGTGATCAGTCCTTCTATCGGTAGCGAACCTGTCTGCTGACCGAAAGCCTCTGTCGCGGCCTTCGG